AAACAAACCTTCTCTATTCTTCACACTTTCTGTATAAACAAACCTTCTCTATTCTTCACACTTTCTGTATAAACAAACCTTCTCTATTCTTCACACTTTCTGTATAACAAACCTTCTCTATTCATCACACTTTCTGTATAAACAAACCTTCTCTATTCATCACACTTTCTGTATAAACAAACCTTCTCTATTCTTCACACTTTCTGTATAAACAAACCTTCTCTATTCATCACACTTTTTGTATAAACAAACCTTCTCTATTCATCACACTTTTTGTATAAACAAACCTTCTCTATTCTTCACACTTTCTGTATAAACAAACCTTCTCTATTCTTCACACTTTCTGCTATAAACAAAACTTTGCTATTCTTCACACTTTCTGTATAAACAAACCTTCTCTATTCATCACACTTTTTGTATAAACAAACCTTCTCTATTCTTCACACTTTCTGTATAAACAAACCTTCTATATTCTTCACACTTTCTGCTATAAACAAAACTTTGCTATTCTTCACACTTTTTGTATAAACAAACCTCTATTCTTTACACTTTCTGCTATAAACAAAACTTTGCTATTCTTCACACTTTTTCTTAAACAATACTCTATTATTCACACTTTCAACTATAAACAAACCTCTATTCTTCACTATTTCTACTATGAACCTACCTTCTCTATTCTTCATCCTGCTACTATGAACAAACCATATTCGTCACTCTGCTGTAAACAAAACGTCGCTATTCTTTACAATTTAGGCCCAGCATGGCCAAGAGGTTAGGCGATCGACTCGCAATCTGAGGCTCGCGGATTCGAATCCTCGTTTCACCAAACATGCTCACCCTTTCAGCCATGTGGGCGTTATAAAGTGACAGTCAATCCAACTATTCGTTGGTAAAAGAGTACCCCAAGAGTTGGCGGTGGGTGGTGATGACTATCTGCCTTTCCTCTAGTCTTACACTGCTAAATTAGGGGCGGCTAGCACAGACAGCCCTCGTGTAGCTTTGCACAAAATTCAAAACAAACAAACAAAACTTTACACTTTCCAATATAAACAAACTTTCACTATTTTTTACACTTTCTACTATAAACAAACCTTCTCTGCTATTCACTCCTTCTGTATATACAAAGCGTTTCTACTCTTAACTCTGTTTAATATCCCATCTTTTCCAAACAATGTATTGTTAATTATTTTACAACTTTTCTCTAAGAGTTAATGTAACAAAAATATATTTTTTTCTTTCCTTTCTTTTTGTGCAGCTTACTACGTTATATTTCTAACTCACAAAGGCGAAGGGAATAATTTCTTTAAAACCCCACTGTATAGTGTCATGGCCATGTTTGTCATGTCGTTATCAGAGTTTGGAGACATGTATCAAGCATTTGAATACACCGCACATCCTGTGACTGCCAAGGTACTGAAATAGATGTTTAATACATTCTTCAAGTGTTTTTTTGTATGCATTTATAATACATGTCTGAACTAAGTTTTGTCTCTTACACATTTCAGTCTTAAGAAGGAATAATTGATGGTGTTTAATCTGCAGTAGCCTGTACGCAGCTCTCAGCTACAAGCTAATTAGTTAAGTTATCGACATGTGTAACTAATAAGCGTAATAAGAGACGTTACTACAGTTTTCAAGGTCAATTTAATTTGCTATGCTCAGCCTTATTATGATCAGAAGCGTACTGTAACAGCCCCTTCTGGATAAAAGTTTTTAATAATGTGATTCACATTTTTATTTAATTAGATAAATTAACAAGTTTTTAACAAGTAAATTTTATAATCTCCTCGATCTGTTTAAGCAATAGATTTCTGCCAGATTTAACTAAATGATTTTTATACATATATTTATACGGTATATATATATATACATATACCGCTTTGTTTTCTGTAATTAGATAGCATTACATTAACATTTTATGGCAATCGTAACTGCAAAATCATTACGTCTACTCTGAACAAAATCTTCAAAAAATTCAACTGATCAACTACCGTTTGTTTCTCCAGTTAAGTATTTATAACCTTAATATTACTCAATGTAATGAATTAAATATTCTCTCAAGAAGAAAAATATTATAATTCGTCGTAAAACGAGATCAGTTCAATACAACTGTCAATAAAAAGTAAAAAATGTATATACAATCAAACTTCCTTGGTCTACAGTTGTTGATTAAAACTAAAGCATATAGTACAAAACAGATCTTTTAAGCTAAAGCTGTCAATAAAAAGTTTATATACAAACAAGCTTCCTTGGTCTACAGTTGTTGATTAAAACTAAAGCATATAGTACAAAACAGATCTTTTAAGTTAAAGGATAAAAACCTACTTATCTTAATGTAAAGATATCATTTCAAAATGCAACAGACAGATCAAAACCTACTTATCTTAATGTAACGATATCATTTCAAAATGTAACAGACAGATCAAAACCTACGTATCTTAATGAAACAATATCATTTGAAAATAAAACAGACAGATCAAAACCTACGTATCTTAATGAAACAATATCATTTGAAAATAAAACATGCAGATACAAACCTACACATTGTTACATCTCCAGTCGTTAATTGATTTTCCGTAAGTTCGTTCCGACGAAACTTTAGCGACAAAAGTCCTTTCTAAATAAAACAGGTTTATTCTTTCC